CAGTCTTACCACAAACTTAGTGACTTAAAACAACACATGTTTATTATCTCACAGTTTCTATGGATGAGGAGTCCAGGCACAGCTTATCTGGGTCTTTTGCCACTGGGTCTCACAAAGACTCAGTCAAAGTGTTTCTAGGGCTGCAGGCTTGACTGGCAAACGATCTACTTCTAAACTCACGTGGTTGTTAGTAGAATTTAGTTCCTTGTGCCAGTGAGATTGAGGGCTTGTTTCTTGCTGGCTGTCAGTGGGAGGCTGCCCTCAGCTTATGGTCACATGGCCCTCCCCATATGATGCCTCACATCATGTTTCTACAAAGCCAGCAAAGGAGATGGGTTACAATCTTAAGAAAGGTTACAGTCTTATGAAACATAATCATGTAATCACATATATTCCAATACTTTTGCCATAGTCTCTTGGTTAAAAACAAGTCAAGTTCCCACCTACACCCAAGGGAAGAAATCATATAAGAGCATGAATACCAGGAAGCCAGGATCACTGGGAGGGCCACCTTTAAGCCTGCCATCTATAGTTATTATATTTTTTTAAGAGAATACATAGCATATACAAATATTTTAAAAGTCTACAGAAAAAGGAAGAAAAATAACAATAAAATTTTATAAGAGATTGAGTACTCACTAGAAAATTGTTGCCATAGAATGAATGAAAATTGTGACCAAAAGTTTATAATGAATTGAAAATCTCATTGACACAATCACCTGTATGAAGGAAGATCACAAAGTAGAAATACAAGAAATCAGGGAAGACATAGAAAAAAAAACTGAAATAGATGAAGAGTAAGTTATAGAATTAAAATAAAAGTAAAAAATATAATGAAAGAAAACTAGAATGAGTACAAGGAACACTAGACACTTGATGTAAACATAAGGCATGTGGATATAGAAATAAAAATAAACACAAAATAAAAATATAGTTTAACAGGATTAAAACAATCTACAGACTCTTAGAACTAACAATTAAATTTAACAAAGTTGCTGGATAAACAGTCAATAGGTAAATTCAATTGTATTTCTATATACCATTAGCTTAAAAATAAAACTTTAAATTTTAAAAAAGGTATCTTAAGACATCAAATAGCTAGGAATACTTGCTACTGAAATGCAATTAATAACTCCACACCAAAAACTATGAAATAGTATAGCAAGTTATTAAAGATAATATAATAAAATGGGAGGTATTCTATCTTTATTGATTTTAAGATTCAATATTGTAAAGGGGTCAAGTCCCCTCAAAATAATTCATAGATTTAATGTTATTTCAATGAAAGCCTTTTGCAGATTATTTTATGGACATTGACATACCGACTCTAAAGTCTACGTGGAGAAGCAAAAGGCCACGAATAGCTAGGATAATTTATTTTTTATTTTTTATTTTTTATTTTTTTTCAGTTGAGTCTCCCTCTATTGCCCAGGCTGGAGTGCAGTGGTGTGATCTCAGCTCACTGCAACCTCTGCCTCCTAGGTTCAAGCGATTCTCATAACTCAGCCTCCTGAGTAGCTGGGATTACAGGCGCCTGCCACCACGCCTGGTTAAGTTTTGTATTTTTAGTACACACGGGGTTTCACTATATTGGCCAGTCTGGTCTCAAACTCCTGAACTTAGGTGATCCCACTGCCTCAACCTCCCAAGGGATTACAGGCATGAGCCACAGCACCTGGCCTAGGGTAATCTTAAAGAAGAATAAGAAGCTGGAAGATTTGTGTGACCAGATAGGGGAAAAAATGTGAGTCAGGGCTTTTACATGCAGTTAAGCTATTCAAGTCTGAAGACTACAGGTATATGTTTTCAACATACAAGAGGAGAGTACAATATTATTAATATGATCTTTTTTAATCTTGTAATTTGATCTCTTTTGCACCAAAGAGTAATAAACATTGAATATATTTGGCTGTATGACTATGCCTAATACAAATGAGGAAAATAGTAGGACAGAACAAAATAGAAAAGTATGTGTATGTATAATATAAAGTACATTTGCAAACACAAGTATAGTATTTGTGTTTGTATGTATAATTTATATATGTATATATGCATGTGTGTTTATATATTATGTATATATATACACTGACACACACACACACGTACACACGTACCTATGTTCTGACAATGTAGGTACTACAGGTGCATGAGGGTATCTGTATTTCCATTTCTTCCACCAATGTCTTTCATTTAGTAGCTGTCTAATTTTGCCAGAAAAATAGGGTTTAAGACATTCTAAGTGATGTTCTAATTTGCATTGCTCTGATGTTAGCACCTCTCCTTAAGCTTGTAAACTTGTGAGATTTCATTTTCAAATACTCAATAGCTATATGGGTTTACTACCGTATGGAGAGATTGGGGGACCATCTTGGAGGCTGTCTACCACACTAATAATACAAGAGGATAATACTCCTCTTCACTGAGAAAACACTATTTTTATATATCCATACATACATATATGTGTGTTACATGTGCATCTATATGTTTATAAAATTTCAACTCAATAGGTATCAAATGATGGACCAGTGTTATGAAAGTGTTTGATAAAGTTCTATAAAATTTCAAAGATTTCTGAGAAGTTGTATGCTTTTCATTGGCATGTATTTGTTTTTAGAAATTAGTTTGTTAACAATACCATAGTTCGTTAGTTGTGGTGAACGTCTTTTTTCACACCAAATATCACTCTTTAAAGTTAGTATGGTTTTCTATGGGAACGATTCTAGTTCTAGTGAAGGTACTAAGAATTGCCTCAGTATTTCTAATCCCATTCAGAAATTGTTCCATACAAATGTAATTTTTCAATGATAAATCTCCTAGTCTTTTTATAGATCAGTTACATGCTACTGAGTTTAAATACAAGTTTTTATAATAAGCTTGACCTATGTACAAAATATGACTCATCATCTATATTCTGGATTTATCTTTACCTCAACAGTAGATTTATAGTCTTGTCAAAAGATTGTCATTGAAAAGAAATCAGAGGGAAGATAAATGATGTCAAATGGAATATATGAAAATTCAACCATGTTACAAAAAAAAGTCTTTGTTTTAGTGTTTTTCTACATTTACCCATAGTCTGAAACTATATCTGAACCTTGCAAACCAACTCTGATGAGCCTGGAAGTCCAGTTTCACAATAAACAAAAATGGAACTAAGTTGAATCTCTTGAAAGCTAATAGAAAACTCTCAAGTAATGTTTAATAATACAAATTGAAAATCACCAGTTACTAAGATAAATTCCTAAGACTTGAGTTTATTTCTTTACACACAGGGTTCAAAGCTTTCATAATTTAATGGTAAGATAAACCTTTATTTAAAAAAAAAAAAACACAGGATACATTATCTGAAGTTCAAAATACTGAGCTAATAGATTCCCAACAGTTCACAGTACAGAACGTCTAATAAGATTATAAACATCTTGGCTACAATTAAAAGTGGACAGGTTAGACTCTTTAACTATTGGAAATGAAACTTACTTTCAATTCTGTGCATTTATGGCATGTTTGGAAAAAAATCCTCTGCAATTTATTTGATCTAGTATAAACAATAGTTTCAAACTTATTTAAAGTTAACATTGGCCATGACTTCCTCAAGTCCATGTCAAAAATGCTCATTCCCTAACAAGTCAAAAGGCATACTTATTGCCAACAAAAGGACTAGAGGCAGTTATAGATGTATTTTTTTTTCTTTTAAGACTAAAACTGAAACTCTGTCTTATCTACTTTCATTTCGCATTCCACCATGGTTGTAAGTTTCCTGAGGCCTCCCTAGAGGCCTAAACCTGTATAGCCCCAAGAACCATGAGCTGGTTAAACCTCTTTTCTTTATAAATTACCCAGTCTCAGGTATGTCTTTATAGCAGTATGAGAAGAAAACTAATACAGTAGACATTTCCTAAAACTCCTAAAATTTAAAGAGCAGGTCAGGATACATGCATGCCGAATCTAGTAGTCATTTTTTCTTTCATAGCACTTATCATTTGACATACTATGTATTTTATTTGTCTATTTTTTGTTCTCTCCACTCAAAGTCAAGTCCTCACTGAGGGAAGGAACTTAATTGACTACTATATCTGTAGAATTTAGAACAATGATAGATATGTGGCAGCCAGTTAATAAACATTTGTTGAATGAATAAATAAACTGATCTTTAAGTTGCCTTCAATTTGTTAAAGGTATTTTTGTTAACTTAAGCTCCCGTGTGAATGGACAAGAAAAGGCACTTGAGCCTGGTTGGTTTTAGTAATGACAAATTTCCTTTTGGGTTTCTATTTTATTTGTTTCTGTTGCTCTGTCGAGAATTAGACTTTAAAAAATTTGAAAAAAGGCTTTATATCAAAACATACTTTTTTAAAACAACTTCAAACTCCTGACCTCAGGTAATCCGCCAGCCTCAGCCTCCGACCAACATGGTGAAACCCCGTCTCTACTAAAAATACAAAAATTAGCTGGGCATGATGGTGTGTGCCTGTAGTCACAGCTACTCAGGAATCTGAGCCAGGAGAATCGCTTAAACTCAGGAGGTGGAGATTGCAGTGAGCCGAGATCGCGCCACTGCACTCCAGTCTGGGCGACAGAGCGAGACTCTATCTCAAAACATAAGTAAATAAAAATAAAAATAAAGAAATAATACAAAAATACAAACCATTTCAACTTTTATTTTGGACTCAGGGGTTACATGCGCAGATTTGTTTCATGGTTATGTTGCGTGATGCTGAGGTTTGGGATATGAATTTCTCACCCAAGTAGTAAGCATAGTACCCAACAGCTAGTTTTTCGACCCATACCTTCCTTCCTCCCTTCCCCCTTCTACAGTGCCTGTTGTTCCAATTTTTTGGCTATGGGCACTCAATGTTTAGCTCCCACTTAAAAGTAAGAACATGCAGTATTTGGTTTTCTGTTCCTGCATTAATTCGATTAGGAGTATGACCTCCAGCTGCATGCATGTTGCTGCAAAGGATATGACTTCATTCTTTTTTATGGTGTGTAATATTCCACGGCATATATGTACCACATTTTCTTTATCCAGTCCACTGTTGAAGGGCACCTCAGTTGATTCCATATCCTTGTTATTGTGAATAGCACTGCGATGAACATATGAGTGCATGTAACTTCCAGAATCTTTAAGGAACTTAAATCGATACACAAAAAACAAATAACCCCATTAAAAGGTGGGTAAAGGATGTAAACAGACACTTCTCCAAAGAAGTCATTCAAGCAGCCAACAAACATATCAAAAAAATGCTCATCATCACTAATTACTAGACAAATGCAAAGCAAAACCACAATGAGACACCATGAGATTGCACACCAGTCAAAATGGCTATTATTAAAAAGTCAAAAAATAACAGATGCTGGCGAGGCTGTAGAGAAAAGAGAACACTTATATACTGTTGGTAGGGATGTAAATTAGTTCCGCCACTATGGAAATCAGTTTGGAGATTTCTCAACTAATTTAAAACAGAACTACCACTCAGCCCAGCAATCTCATTACTGAGTATCTATCCAAAATACATCATTCTACCAAAGAGAATGAGCTTTTTAAAGAGTTTCTCATCTCTCAATCTAACTGGAAATCCTGTTAACATCCAGTGAATACAATAACACATGCCCGAAGCAACACATGTTGGCTGGTTGACTACGAATTACGGTCATTTTTGCTCTGCCTCGTTCATTTCTCGCCTCCAGAAGCCTAAATGTTGATCCATGTACTTTGAGGAATTACAGATTTGAAGATGAAGATTCTGGAAACTTCTGTAGTGTGTGAAGCATAGAAAGAGTGTAGTGCTAATAATTATACTGCTCATTCCAGACTAGTTTCTTGCAGCAAATCAGGATAAGAGTTAGTATTCACCAGTTTGTGAATGCTAGTTCCCAAAGATAAAGATTCAAGTGACTTTAACAGTGGCAAGATTGAAAAAAGCTCAAGTCCTATTTCTTCATTTTTATAATGATGTATAATATCATATGTTAATATATAACCTATACAATTTTAATTAATCTATAACTTCATCCATAATAAGGACATGTTTGTATTTATAAGTACAATATCATTGACAGGAATATATAGTGCTAGAAGTGTTGGAAATACAATTTGTACCCAAAGCGAGCTTGAAAACTTCTGAGCCATCACCAACAGATTCTTGAATAGAGTGTGTGTCCTGGGGTCTGTGGAGTCTGGAACTGATTGTCCAACTGGGAGTTCTCTGCATTAATTTCTGTGTAAAATACAGTGTTTATGAAAGTATAATAAAAATATACTAATTTGAAGCTTAAAATATATTATTGAAATTCAGCAGTAACCAAAGCAATTTAGAAATGAAATCAATAAATAACTTTTTCTAAGAGAAGTGCTTTATTACCAACATCTAAAATATTTCTGGCGGATAGTGATGAGAAAACATCATAGACCTTTACTTAGTTTTCTTATTGCTTTTAAATTTTTTACAGATGGTGTGTACTCTTAAGTCTGCACCCGGAGTAGCCTGCTACCACTACTCTGACTTCCTAAGCCACCACTGACTAAGTACTCATCTTATGATTAGCAAAAATGAAGTCATTTTTTAAAAGTGAACAGGGTCAAAATAGCCAACAGGGGAATATTAATGGTGGTCACTGAGCTTAAGAAGTCACTTAAGCTAGCTGGAATCACTAAAATCACTGATATGATTCTGATATTTACAAAGAATCCACATCTCTCCTATGGAGAATTGATTGATTGGTCCCAAGTAAAAGAAGCAGAGAGAATGGAATGCTTCTCAACTCTTCATATCATCCCTCTTCTCTTCCAAGAAGCGCTTGCTTTGAGTTTTTATTTATGTTTAAAATTTAAAAAAATAAAAGAATATAAACTGAGAGATGCATGTTTTTGTTCTGAAAATGCAAATTTTGGTTCATACATGAAATACATCTAATGAATTTGAACAATATTTAAATAGAATTAAAACCTGGTATGTATATATTGCTTCTATCATAGAGCCTCTCTTTACTTGCAGGGGGCAAATCTTAATTATTTTCAACAAATGAAGGTCATGCCATTTCCTTTTCTAGTGCTTGTTTTAGAAATAAGCACAAAATGCAATTCTAGCCGATGTCACTCAAAAATCTAATGGAGGTACTGGGAAAAATTCCTCTTTTTTTGTGGGAGCTAGGGGAATAAACTATCTTTTAGTCCTTTAGTTCCTTTTAAGAATGTCATAATTAGTTTGTGCAGACTTCTCGAGGGCACATTAATATGACAGAGTTATCTGGATATCTACCCAAAGGATTGGCAGTTTCGCAATACAGAGGGAAAAAAAGAATTTTTGGTAGCATCCTTGGACCACTGAATCAACCTTCCCTGGGACTTTTCTACCTCTGGACTTTGGGTTATAGCTGGACCATCTGGAGTTGGTTCTTCTGTTTTAGTCTAAAGCATCCCAAATGAGATGTTTCTTATGCTTCTAAATATACTCTTTTTAACCAAGTTCCATTTTGGGTGGGCATTGTAAGGGTAATATATACAGACTTACAAAGAATGTTCCTATGAATTAGGAAGCTTTAAGCAATGGAAACTATTTTTCATTCACTGCCATTCCACTATGGTAGCAATTCCTCCTATGGTAATTCTGTTTGTTACTTCTTAGTAATAGGAAGAACCATTCGTACAATTGTGTAAGGTACTTTTAACGAATACATATCTGTATTCTCAAACCATATGGCAACTTCTGGAATGCTTTAGATTTCTATCCCATCTTCATAATCTCTTAAAGAGTCTCTTGTGCCTTACTCAACATTACAGTAGATATTCATAGACTGGTAACACTTTCTTCTAATTGATCCAATGTGGTATGGTGGTCACAGTTATTTATAATAGTGGTAGTCCTCATACTACAAGAGTATACCATATTGTATTTAAATACCTCACTATTGAGAAACTCTTAATATAGGGCCATCAACTTTAGCTGTGAAATTCCGGCATCATATGATATTACCGGGATCAATTCTCTTAGGAAGAGATCTAAGAATTAATAAGACTGAAAGGAAACTCTTAGAATATGTAAATGACAGGTTTTCTTGTCTTTATAATTGTTAAGAAACTAAAACTAGATTTTATATCTATTTTGAAAGGCTGAAATGAGTTTTATATTATGAAGTCTATTAACAATTCAAAGTGTCTATTTTAAAATCTTTAACAATTTCTTAAAAAATATCTTGTACTAGAGGACAAAAATGGCTCTGTTATTCATAGATGATTAAGTACTGCATTTCTCACTTCAGTAAAGTAATTCCATATAATTTATTACATAAACCATCAGAATAATAGAATCCAGTTCTATTTGTGACATCTCTGCAGTTATCACAGTGTATTTTGAAAACCCAAAGTAACAATGGGCATTTCCACTGAGTGTGTTTCTTTGCCCATAAAGGAAACAACCAAATTTACTTCTGGCAGAAACTCATTTGACACATTCTAACCAGAATATATTAAATCAATTATTTGTTTCATGTGGGATGTTAAAATGACATCTCATTTTATCCTTCCATTTTCTTAACATAATAATGAGCACATTCAATTCACAAACATTTCAATTTGGTTATGAGCTCACTTCCTCCATACTACTCCTACCACCTCTACTTCAAATTTAGCATAATCACTCTCTTGATGATTTATGCAATTTCTAAACATTAGCAAACATAACTAACAAAATATAATTTATTAATAAGTCTTCAATTATTTTTAGAAGGAATTGCAAAAGCGTTGGCATTGTCTTACAGAAATACACCTAATTTTAAAAGTAGATTTTTTTTCTAATTTACCAGACAGGAATATCCAAACACTGAAACGTATAAATATTTCAAAATCACACATACAAAAGTAGTATCTAATTTGTAGTGACTTATCAAGGCAGGGAAGTAGGAACTTAATATTCATTAAGTCATTTGACATTCTTAACAATGTGCAGAAGGTCATGCTTTGTGCAGAGTTCAAAATAGATAACAAATGCCTTCTTCTGTGGGAAAAACATGAGCATCAATGTGTCTAAAGGGCTGTTCAATACATGTTTTGTGTGCACCATTATTTGTATGTTTTATGATAATCCTCAGCATTAGGCCCATTTTATAGATAAAAAGACCGAGCCTCAAATATAACTTAGCCGACTTATATACCTAGTAAGTTGCAGAACTAGTATGTGCACCCAATTATCTAAGAATCTAAAGTCCACATGCTTTTGTCACACTACACTATCTTTCTTTTGAAATTTATAATCTATTATCAAGGAGGGAGAACTTATATACATATAAAGTTCAGAGAAGCTACATACACTCATACACACACACACACACACATATATATATAAAGTTCAAATAAGGTGGAGATGAGTAAAACATAGACAAATGTAATTGAAGAAGTTTTTGATTCTTATGAGTATTATACATGTTTTAGGGGATCTGTGTTTTACAATATCTATGAATTTGACCGTCTTTTCTTCTCACATTCTTCCCCATCCTTTCACCAGTGACTTCACCCTTCTGTGAAGGATGAGAAACAGCTACTTTTCTCTAAGAGCATGATTTATCTAATTGGTGTGACAGCAAAAGAATGAAAACTATTGGCCTGCAATAGGCAGATTAAGATGTGGAATGCTTGTGTCACTGGTTGCCCAACGACTTTGCCCTTGACTGGGTGAAAAGTGAGGAGTGAGAGGGGGAAGAATGAGAGACACATTTTTGTTCTTAGGTCCAAGGAAATGCTCTAATCCAGTTTTAATGAAATTTCTGTTTTTACCACCATCTGACTTTTGAGTTCATTTATCAATTTGTTAATAACACAGACAGGAGAAATATGTGATTTATTTGTAACAGGGTAGTCCAACAATGAACAGCTTTGGGAAGGATCTGGCTTCCCCGGGGAAAGTGTTGCTTCCTTAAAGAACGCTCCCTGTCTAGTGAGTAATTGTAACTTGGTAGTCACTCTCAAACTATCAATTTAACCAGTAAACTCACATTTTTCTACTGTATGCTGGTGGATATGAATGATCGAGAAGGAGACATAGACGCTGGACTTTTCCCCTAGGAGAGAAAGGTTCATTTATGACCTGCTTTATTTTTTAGAAAAGCAGAAGAAACCCAAATTATTATCCATAAGGCATTCACCTGAGCACATGTGGACTTCATGTAAGTATTTTTGTACTTATTTCAGTTTACAACAGTTAGTGCAATCTCACACGGCATATATTTCTATATTCTTTATTAGTGGCTATTTAAATTGTTCATATGTTTAATTTTTAGTCTCTTCATCCTTGATTCTTCAAGATTCTGGAAATGACAATTTGTTCTATTCTCAACTGGCTTATGATGATTTCAAATGCCCTATTTGGTCTCATTGAACTTAGTTATAAATTTCAAAATTGAATTGCAGAAAACAATGTGTATTATTTGAAATCAATATTGGATAAGTCATAATTACCCAAATATTTATTAATTTGATGAATTTCTATATGCCTTTTTTGGTCTTCACAGAGAGAGTATCAATTGCTAAATGTTTTCAGTCAGTGGCTCTTTGTAAATGAAATACCTAAATTCACAATACCTCATACAAAATGTATTACATTAGAGTATTTGCATTAAAGATATTTTACTCTGAAATAAAATTTTGTACAATCTAACATTCACGAAAGAGGGAAATAAGTGGATTTTGCAAAGAATATTCACCAAGACCTTTGTTTAATAGAGGGGAGAAAAGGAAATAATTAAATGCTAGCAGAAAACAGGGTTGCATCTTTGGGAAATGTACCCATTCAGGTAGCCCCTGGAAAATTAGGTAAGTATCTCCTCTTGTCTGGGTAGGTGACAGTGTGTGGAGAAGCTAATGAATGCAGGGCCAAATTGCACCTCTTTTTTTGGTGGATTTTTCTCCATCTCTATTAACTCTTGAGAAGAAAACACTTTTTTTGACCTTTTAAGTAGCTAGACTTCAAAATAATTTAAGAATTTGCATATTTTACACATTTTTTTCCTGAACCCTGAGCACGTATAATGTAAATATATAGTTGTAATTCTTACTCTGTTACCTTGTTCTAAATCATGAAAGTATTAAAGTCAACTCTTTGAGACAAGGCACATCTTACATTGACATCCCAAAAGTGGGAATAGTGTACAATAGTAAATAGTTTAAAAATATTATTTGGATTATAAAATGAATTAATTATATAAAGAGAAAATGTGTTTACAAATGTAATTGGGAATAAATGTGTTAAATATTACATAGAATCTGGTTTTAATCCAAAAACAACTCAAACTTATTCGATTTGTATTTTAATTCAACCACTTAGTTTTTTCTTTAAATATTTCAGAGTCTTAGTAATATACTAGCTGGAAGATGTAGCTAGATGGTGAATTGTCAGAATGAACGTAGACATCTTGGAAAAGACAGACACAGATGAAATAAATATATCTTGCCTGGTTCCTGAATAGGGGGACATGCTATTATCAAAAGTTTTAAGTAGCTGTGAATTACTTATAATAGCAAGTACTGAAGATTGTAATTTATGTTATTATGTTATCAAGCAAATTGCCGGACAGAAAATATTGCAGTATATTAAAACAACTTCTACTGCACCTAACATAAATTCAACAGATTAAAATATATACTGTAAATACTTAAGCAGAAATACCTATAGAATATAATATATAAATAGGCACATTTGTTTCCCTTCATACTTCATTGAAAAGCCCAGACATACCTTTTAACAACATATCCTGCTAAAAGCAATATGCCCTTTTTGGTGAAACAGGTACCATACAATGAAGCTCAAATCTAATAGTCATAAGTTGACTTACTGTTGTTAATGCAATAGCAAGTGATAAATCCAAGTCCATGCAATCAACGCAGGAATTCTGTTCCTGCCTTAAAATCTGAGGACAATTTAAGTGTACAGAGTTTTTCTTGGAATAACAGTTAATGCTGAAATGAAAGTGGCATGCAAATCTCCCAATTCAGGAAGAAAAACAATCATACTATGCTTCTGCTGAATCTAAACAGCTCTACTTCCTTTCACAGAACCTTGTGATCATTCTTCTTAGGTATCAGTAGTAGGCCTAGTAAACATTTTCTGTCCAAGGCTGTCCCTATGTGGCCCCACTTATGTTCCATTATGACCTCAGGATAATAATTAATAAAGCCCACTTTCACTCTCCAAAGTGTCTCAGTCTACATAATAAATAACATAGTTATTATATTATAGGTTAAGGTAATACATATGAAATTGTATTAATGATATGGATTCATTACTAATGAGATTTAACTAAGAAAGTTTAAATTATACGGTAACTTTCCATTAAGTAATCTGACTTTTAAAGGAGCAGATAAATGCTTTATTAAATGGAATGCTTTTTGATACTGTGCAGTTCTTTCCAGAAACTGCAAGTTTAAAAAAAAAAAAAAAGCCATTGGATATGAAAAAAGAAGCATTCTTGAGAAAATTCCCTAAGGAGAATTTGTTTTTTTCTTAAAAAGGAGCTTTATTTGAGGTGTCAAGCTAAGATTGTGCTCCTTCCCACCTGGAGAATAACATTCAACATCAAATATTTGGCCAGAATTTTGCTATAGACATTAGCAAGTCATTCCTTTCATTTGTGATTGTATATGAAGTATTAGCTCTACAGTGTGAGCAGCCATCCATCAGAGACAACGTTTGCTTCTCCTGTGTAACAATGTCACAACACTGTAAGTTCAGTAACATTGCCTAAGTAGTCAGGCAATGAAACCAATATGCACGAAATGCTATCATTGTCATTGGCTTAAAGGCAAAATATGTTGAACCACGGCTATTTTCTGATTCAATTAACATTTATGGAAAACCTATTACGTGCCACACATCTTGACACAATTTTTTTATTTGTTCTTAATAACAACTTGTGAGGTATCTGTTACTTTCCAGATGGGGAAATAGAAAGCCAGAGAGATTAAGTGACTTTTTAAAAGTCACTTAGCTGGTAATTGATGGAAGGTTGATTCAAATCAAGGCTGATTGATTCAACATGTGAGCTCTTTCTGCCCCATTTCTGCTTACATCTCTGGCTCCAGACTTTGATGTTTGGCCAATAAGAGACTTTTTCAGAGTGGTAGAAAGCCATTTTCTACTAATCTAAAATAAGGATTCCTGCATGGAGATAAAATTGAATATTATTTTTTCCTATTATTTTTGATAGAAAGTCATTTCCTACTAATCTAAAATAAGAATCCCTGCATGGAGATAAAATTTAATATTTTTTCCTATTATTTTTGAAACATCTTCGACACTTTCCTAAGGGAAAAATGTGGGTAGACAGCATCATTCTTATCTTTTTTTTTTTCTTCTACCATCTGCCCTTCACAATTCAATGAAGGAAACTGTACATTTCAGTGGGAAGATTCTATTTTTCTACTACTACAAGACAGCCTTATCTTCTGCATATCATTCATTTTTGAAGCTGTAAACTGGCTGAATTAGTTAGTCTTTTCAATGTTAAAACTAGAAATTTTGCTCCCAAATTAAAGAATATCAGGAATACAAAGGAGAACAGGAAAATCTGAGATTCTTTTTGTTTAAGATCAATGAATTATTTGGTTATACAGATATTTGAAATATAGTTAACAGATATCAAAAAGAAGTCCTGGGTTGCATTCAGTCATGGCTGCCACAGATGTCAAAACTTCACATGTGGGATTAAAGATTGTCCACAGTAGGGAACAAGAGAGTTTGGAGTTCTTCAAGGATTCTGCGGTCTTACTATTAAGCAAAAGTCTGGCATTTTAGATCTCTTATAGCTGTTGAGAAGAATTGAACCGTCATTCTTGAATCATATTTGCTACAGTACTACCTGATGACTAAAGTAAAGGCTCAAAACTTCAGCTGTATCTAGGAAGGTTTTGGGATCCTCGGTTCCTTGAACTTTTTGAACTACAAAGTCCATATTATTCCCATTCACCAGAATTTAGCTCTGGGGAAACAAACACAGGAGAAGGAGTTTTCATGAAATAGATTTTCCAGGTTAATTACTTGAACTGTTGTATAAAGAACTCAGAAAAAAAATGTGTATGCATACAAAGCATACATTTTAAAAACCTAGTGACTAGTGATCATGGAGCAAGAACACAGAAAGAGAGAAGACAGTTCTATAGGCTTCCCACATATACCTCAACACCTGGCCTCTGGGCCCTGTGATGAGAACGCTGAAACACAAATGAATCTGAACAGGGACACTACATACAAATGCTGAATTATATGCTACATAAAGGTTTTTAAATGCACCAGGCCTGGGAAGAACCCCAAATGAATAGAAACTGTAGCAAATGTATCTAACTGTATTAAAAATGAGTAACAGAACACTATAGGAAGTGTAAAAGAACTAACCTAAGTTATTTTGGAAAGCAATATTTTGATTGAATAGTATGAGGCTAAAGACAAAAAGAACTGCATACAAATAATGTACTTTCCTTAGTAAATTTGTTCCTAAATGGGTACAGATTCATATTTCAGAAGCTATTTTCTTTGTATGCTAGGGTTGAAAAAATACATGCATGTACTGAAGACCATGAGAGCCAGTTTTCTCTTAGTCTATGATAGAAGTTATATATAAGAAAAGGGATAGCTAGAATAAACCCTGTAGTATTGGATTGGAGTTGTAGATATCAATATGAATTCATAGTTGTTAAAAATAATGCAGACATAAGCAGACATATGTGTATACGTGAACCAGTGTAATATACGTATTCTGAAATCATGTTCACTGACAGGTACTAAAAGTAGTGACACTCTGTTAGTAGTAAGCACACCTACACCCAGATTTTTGTTTCTAATGCCATTATATAATAAAAGGAACCAGAACTCCTTGGAGATATAGTTGATTCCAGGACTGGTACAGAAAATATACAAGATAAGACTTTAGCCTCATGCAGCAGCAGGAAGTAAGACAGTACTCAAAAAAGAATAGGGCATGTTGAAAGGGCACGGAGCCAAATGGAAAAGATCCCGATGCCCAAAGCTAGAAAAATTTACAAAAGGAAAAAATATAATTGGATTATAATCCATAGAATAAAATAAATATCTGTGGTGTCATAGTGATAAAGATAAGTATTTGAGTAGATACATAAATACAGGAGAAGAGGCAGCTCTTCTTTAGAAAAAGATTCCAATTAATAAGTAAAGAAGGAATGAGGGAAATAGAAAATCACCATTAGAACACCATTAATGAATACTGAAATTGTTGGCTAAAAGTATGAGAAGAAATAATATTTGCATTTGAAAGGAACTCTTACAAAATATTTATTAATTAAAAAAGAAATATAGTAACTTTAGAGTAGAGAAAACTGGGAGACGCCACTTTTAGAAAGTGATCCAGGTCAACATAACCAATAATTAGATATATTGACATCATACATGCTATACATATATTGACCTGATAATACACAGAGAGGGGCACATCGCTTCTGTAGTATTCTTGCCAAAAATGCATAATCTCAATCTAATCATGAGAAACATCAAATACAACCAAATTGATAGAAATTCTACAAAATAGCTGACCTGGACTCTTCAGAAGTGTCTGTTGTATCTGATGTCACAGATCAAAGGAAACCATAAAGACATCACAAATAAATGAGACGTGATATCCTGACTAGGACCCTGGAACATAAACATAACATTAAAAGAAAAATTGATGAAATTTGAATAATGTCTGTAATTTAATTAATAGCAGTGTAACAATGTTAACTTTTTGGTTTTGACCATTAAAGCAACTGTATTTTTCTATTTTTATAACTTTTCTGTAAGTAATACTCTTACAAAACAAAAAGCTTTTAAAAATTGAAATAAAATGTACCAGAATATTGAGAATAGGTATCTTTGGAAAGTGAAAGTGCAGATGATTCTTATTTTTTCCTTAATTTTGTTTTCCAAAATCTCTACAATAAGCATGTAATATTTAGAAAATGCATTACTATTTTTATTTTAGGCCAGGAAATCCCTTATATATGGCTTTAGTTGTAAAAAATTAACAAATTGTGTTTTAATTTTAAAAAATAATGCAAAAATGTTTATATGACATATTAGAAAGTGTCTTAAGCTTTAACAACAAAGGAGATTCCACTCCAGTTAATGCTATTTTTTGCATAGATACTTAAATTGTCATTAAGTCTTCCTTTATGTTTTAATTTTTACAAGCATACTGCTTACCATTTTTGAAAACCAAGATGATCCCAGATGTAATGGGTATAAATGGAAAATGCTACTTTCTCTTGAGTAATTGAAGAATGTCATGATGTTCTCTTTTAATATCATGCTCAATCACACCTACCAGGTATGATTTTTAATTTTCAAAATATTATGAGACTATGAAATGTACTTGTTAAAAACTTACTTCTTTCTTGGAAGATTTGGAAGGCTTCAGAGCCATTATTTTGACATGTCATTATATAATTCTGCAGCTGTGATAGATGGCACTGAAAGTAAGCCTGCTTTTTTTTTTTAAAGCTTCTGGACAAATGCTGAGCAACAGTCAAAATTAACAGGAGAAGACTTTCATTGCTATTGGTGAAATCCCTGGAACCTGAAGCATTCACTGTAAAAACAGATGGAGATCTTAGTTTCTAAATAATTTGAAAAAAAATTAAACTTGAACTAAATGTACTCTCAGAAGAGTTACAGAAAAACTGAGCAGGTATTCAGAGAATTAATGGAAGGTTTATGTGATAGAAAACTTTCTAAGTCATTATTTTATCCTTGCTTCCCTCCAACCCCTTCACATCCAGAACTACTTTTCACAGGATACATTTTAAAGATATCTATTTAAAGTGTGTGTCTGTGTGTGTGTGTTTGTGTGTAAACATACATTCAGCATCTGCAAAGCACAATAAAGCAAAACATAATAAAATGAAGTATACATGTACTCACTTAAAGTGGCACAGTGACCTTTCCAACATAAGCATGTTTGATACTGTCATTTTTATTTAAACTAGTAAAGCTTGAAAGCCGGCAGGTTCTCCGAACAATAGTTTTCAGGTAAATAAAAAATGTAATTTTATCGTTCTTTAAAAATAGCAATGAACATAGCATTACAGTGCTGCTTTTTTGCCTCATATTTCATCTCACCTCGACCACATGTGTTTAACAAAACATTGCCACATCAGAATCATAGTTTTATTATTTCTAATGAGGACAGCTAAACAAAAATATTAAGTGTGACCCTAACTCTTGCTGTGAGATTTTTGGTTGTTGCTTTGTTTGTTTGTTTTTTGGGTTTCATCATGTTAGGAGTTCAATATTATAGTTAAATGAATTACATCTTCTGTAGTAATGAGTAGATAATATTTCATTATTGTATATTGACACAAATTTATTCAATCATCTCATCGAATATTTAATTTTTCATGTCATAGGAATATATATTTCTTCTGCATTTTACAGTGGTTAGAAAAACCTGACTTTAACAATTATTCACATAAATATATTTTCTAAGGAACTGTGGTATTTTCTACTGTTTTTAAATTTTTAGGTAAAAGAGGTGATAAGATTTTACTATTTGCGTCCAATAATGGCTCCAGAAATTTTTGTATGGAAGGAACTAAGGGAACCCATCTGACTGGAAAGAGGGATTGAGTGAGAACCTGAAACTATGTTTGCATAACACTTTAAATAAAACTGGAGAAATACCAAGTGCCAAATTTAAAAATTGGCTTCTGATATTTGAAAGCTTCCATAACTTGTATAAGGTTAAATTCCTATCTGGGCTCCATCCTTATAACTGTAAAACCTATGAGTTTATGTTCCTAGTAGGATGTTAAGGGAATGTTGGAAACCTCCTATTATTGCTGGAGGAACCAGTTTCCCACCCTATGACTACAGGAGGGCTCAAAGGAGAGCTTCTCGGAATCTGTTTAGAGCTGTGACCCCTAAGGAAAGGCCCCATGAGGCCAACATCATCCTGATACCAAAGACTGGCAGAGACACAACAAAAAAAGAGAATTTTAGACCAATATCCCTGATGAACATCGATGCAAAAATCCTCAACAAAATACTGGCAAACCGAATCCAGCAGCACATCAAAAAGCTTATCCACCATGATCAAGTGGGCTTCATCACTGGGATGCAAGGCTGCTTCAACATATGCAAATCAATAAATGTAATCCAGCATATAAACAGAACCAAAGACCAAAACTACATGATTGCACTCCCTTTGAAAACTGGCACAAGACAGGGATGCCCTCTCTCACCACTCCTATTCAACATAGTGTTGGAAGTTCTGGCCAGGGCAATCAGGCAAGAGAAAGAAATAAAGGGTATTCAGTTAGGAAAAGAAGAAGTCAAATTGTCCCTGTTTGCAGATGACATGATTGTATATTTAGAAAACCCCATCGTCTCAGCCCAAAATCTCCTTAAGCTGATAAGCAACTTCAAGAAAGTCTCAGGATACAAAATCAATGTGCCAAAATCACAAGCATTCTTACACACCAGTAACAGACAGAGAGCCAAATCATGAATGAACTCCCATTCACAATTGCTTCAAAGAGAATAAAATACCTAGGAATCCAACTTACAAGGGATGTAAGGACCTCTTCAAGGAGAAGTACAAACCACTGCTCAGTGAAATAAAAGAGGACACAAACAAGTGGAAGAATATACCATGTTCATGGATAGGAAGAATCAATATCGTGAAAATGGCCATACTGCCCAAGGTAATTTATAGATTCAATGCCATCCCCATTAAGCTACCAATTACTTTCTTCACGGAATTGGAAAAAACTGTTCTAAAGTTCATATGGAACCAAAAAAGACCCTGTACTGCCAAGACAATCCTAAGTCAAAACAACAAAGCTAGAGGCATCACACTACCTGACTTCAAACTATACTACAAGGTTACAGTAATCAAAACAGCATGGTACTGGTACCAAAACAGAGATATAGAACAATGGAACAGAACAGAGCCCTCAGAAATAATACCACACATCTACAGTCATCTGATCTTTGACAAACCTGACAAACACAAGAAATAGGGAAAGGATTCCCTATTCAATAAATGATGCTGGGAAAATTGGCTAGCCATAAGTAGAAAGCTGAAACTGGATCCTGTCCTTACTCCTTATACAAAAATTAATTCAAGATGGATTAGAGACTTAAATGTTAGACCTAAAACCGTAAAAACCCTAGAAGAAAACCTAGGTAATACCATTCAGGACATAGGCATGGGCAAGGACTTTATGTCTAAAACACCAAAAGCAACAGCAACAAAAGCCAAAATTGACAAATGGGATCTAATTAAACTGAAGAGCTTTTGCACAGCAAAAGAAACTACCATCAGAGTGAACAGGCAACCTACAGAATGGGAGAAAATTTTTGCAATCTACTCATCTGACAAAGGGCTAATATCCAGAACCTACAAAGAACTCAAACAAATTTACAAGAAAAAAACAAACAACCCCATCAAAAAGTGTGCAAAGGATATGAACAGACACTTCTCAAAAGAAGATATTCATACAGCCAACAGACACATGAAAAAATGCTCATCATCACTAACCCTCAGAGAAATGCAAATCAAAACCACAATGAGATACCATCTCACACCAGTTAGAATGGCAATCATTAAAAAGTCAGGAAACAACAGGTGCTTCAAAGAGAATAAAATACCTAGGAGAGGATGTGGAGAAATAGGAACACTTTTACACTGTTGGTGGAACTCTAAACTAGTTCAAGCATTGTGGAAAACAGTGTAGCAATTCCTCAAGGATCTAGAACTAGAAATACCATTTGACCTAGCCATCCCATTACTGGGTATATATCCAAAGGATTATAAATCATGCTGCTATAAAGACACATGCACACGTATGTTTATTGCAGCACTATTCACAATAGCAAAGACTTGGAATCAACCCAAATGTCCATCAGTGACAGACTGGTTAAGAAAATGTGGCACATATACACCATGGAATACTATGCAGCCATAAAAAAGGATGAGTTCGTGTCCTTTGTAGGGACATGGATGCAGCTGGAAACCATCATTCTCAGCAAACTATCGCAAGAACAGAAAACCAAATACTGCATGTTCTCACTCGTAGGTGGGAATTGAACAATGAGAACACTTGGACACAGGAAGGGGAACATCACACACTGGGGCCTATTTTGGGGGGATGATAACAATAGGAGGTATACCTAATGTAAATGACGAGTTAATTAGTGCAGCACACCAACATGGCACATGTATACATATATAACAAACCTGCACGTTGTGCACATGTACCCTGGAACTTAAAGTATAATAAAAATAAATAAATAAATAAAATAGATAAATCAAAAAAGGAAAGGCCCCATGCCTTGAACCAGGATAGAATCTCTCTTCACAAAGCCCACAATGCTGGTGGTGCATAGTAGAATTGTGCTGGGCAACTCTGCTGCCTAATTGTTGCCTAAATGGTAAACTCTAGGATGCATGCTTCTCTCTCTTCTCTCTCATCTCTTTCTTTTCATACTGAATTTGAAAGCATATATTTGCTGAGTTTTTTGCCTGCCAGTCTGTCATTGTTTCGCCTTCATTGACTTTGTTACAGAATGCATTCTAATTAGATAAACCCCAAACAGATGTTACAGATTATGAGTAATAGCTCTGTATAAGTGTAACTAATTTGAGAA